CTAATTAGATTATCAAGTTTTTTAATTTTATTGATTTCTATTCTTTTTTCCTTTGCTTTCTCAAAATGAACTAAATTGCTTTGTTATTAGCTCGACTGTTTATTTTATACATCCCTACCTAAAAAGATTTAAATAGTGAAATAATCTTTATAATTTTAAACATTACATTATAAAAAATAAGTACATTTTTTACATTAAAAATAAACTTCAGCAAGGTTTTGTATAACGAAAGAAAAACTGAAAAATACTGAATTAAGTAATATGAAAAGTAAACTAGCTAGTTTTAAAAAAGTGGTCTATAGGGGACATTTTGAAAACCAATCATCAAGTTATATTAATTTCACAGTCCCTAAAAAAAGTTTCATCTCCTAATGTTAAGGCTATTAAAAAAAATTGAAAAATTCGAATAAGTTGTCAGCCTAATGTACACAATAGTAACATGGTATCTTTGTACATAGGAGTGCATAGATTTCAACTCTAATCTCTAACTCAAAATCCATCCATTCAAAAGTTTTTGTTTTGCACAGTATACAACCTGCACCTCCTAGTCCACTAATGAGTCATTTAAATTTTAAATCCTTCACTGTATCTTAATTATAAATTTTGACATTATAATAATTTTTGCTAAACTGACAACACATTCCTTTGACATTTAATTCTTCTTCTGCGTTATCATTAGTTATGACAATAAGAACTAGCAAATCTTCATTAACTTGTGTTTACCTTATCAAAAACACAGTACATAACAATTTTGATGCATTTGGTGAATAATTTTGCTACAATATCATACTTTTACTATCTTGATGGCATATTAGTTTCAGAGGAATAAGACTGTATTGAAATATATTTGATTTGCTTTCAATTATTTCTTTTTATTTCAATAATGCTCATTGCCCTGCTCCATCACAGCCATCCTAAAAATAAATTTGATATTCATCTCCGTCTACAGAACAAAAGAATGTTTAATTATATTCAAAACAGAATCTATTTTCATTCTAAGTTTTTTGTATTGAACAGAAACACCTTATGCATCAAAAAAATGACCTGTCTTCATTCATTCATTGTCATTCATTGTCTTAAAAAACACAATTCTGTTAAGTAAGCCTCCTCTACTTCATAAATTATGTCTTTTGATGCTTGTGAAAGTATAAATACATACTCATTTTTCCTGAATTATTTTTCTTTCAGGTGTATATAACGTTTCTATGCTTTTTCACATATATTTTCAAACTCCTACGAAATAACTGATAGTCCAAAGTTTTTAAAAAGTAATTTTTAATGGCTAAATATGTTATTGAGTTAAACTTAACAGCTTTGTCAGCATTATTAAATTGTGTGAAAAAATCTATTTAAGTGATGTATTTTACATTTTTATTTTCCTCCATTATATAAATTTTTTACTTTACTTATGCTAAAACATAAACAAAATAACATCAAATAAATAAAATGTTGAACAATTTTCAAATTTGTAACCATAAATAAAATATTTAGATTCTTTTAGAGAAAAAAGCTGTTTCGCTGATCAACTTTTTTAAATCATGTAAATAAAAAGTGTTAACTTGCCTCAGTTCCCTTTAGAATAATTTAAAAGTAGAAACGTTAAATATATTTATAATGTAGGGCACATTAGAGGAAAGTTAGCACTTTTAATAAAATTTAAGATGTAATCTGTTTTTTTGTTTAAAAAAACAACACAAATTTACAACAAAATTACCTTGTTATTTTAAAACAACTTAAAATCTTAATTTGATAAAATATAAATAAACAACTAACACATTTTAAACTAATTTATTCAAAAACTTATCCAATATTAAACTAAAAAACAACTTTTACATAAGTTATTTACTAATTTGCATGATTGGTAAAATCATTTCAAATAAAAATAATCTGATTTTTTTTTTTTTTTTTTTAACATATTCACTTCCAACAAGGCTGCAAGCAATCATTATTAGAGTTTGAAGTTCCTGGGAAAAAAAAGATAAAGATTATAAAGCAAGATAACGATTCACAGCCAATTTAAAAGATTAAAAATTATATGAATCAGAAAAACAAGATGAAGGAATCAAGTTCCAAAGAACTTATGTTTGAGGTAAAAAACTAGACAAAAAGAATTTTGTAGTACTTAAAAACGGTCACAGTAAAAGTATGAGACTTAATTGAATGACGAGTAAAAACAAAATGAATTTTATTAGATGACACAAGAGAGCTCTTTTTGAGCAGCGCCCATTATAGCATTTATAGAAAAGAGAAAAAGTAGCAACCTTACAATGATGTGACAATGATTGATTTATAAAGATAAAGAATAGAATCTGGAGTAAGAAAGTGGTGAGTACAATAAAGAGATGCAACTTTAGCCGACGCAAATTTTGTAAAGGATTTGATATATGGTTTCCATATATCTAACCTCTCCACATCTATCTAATATTTTTAATAAATCAGAAGTAGAATGAGAAGATTGAAATACATACTGATAATCAGAAAATAAGTTATTGGATTTAAGATGAGAGATTAAGTGTTTTTAAAGACTCAAAAACCTTGCTTATGATAGTAAGAAGACTAACGGGACGGTAGTTAGACAAGTCAGATCACACTCCAGAATTTTTGAAAACAGAGATGCCGCTTTCCAGCAGACTGGAAAACAAGACTCAAATGGTGTCTGAGTATTATCAATCTGGACAAATTAAAGATTTGCCTCCTCACTGATAATAGTGAGGAGGCAAATATGGAGTCAAATACAGCAATAAGTAAGCAAGCAGTTCACTCAGAGGCTGCCAATAAGATCCAGAACACCATGGTACCCTTATATAAAAGCAATGAAGAATAATGAATACCTTCAAACTTTCTGAACAATGTTGTTATTAAATGTGTTTCCAGAGGAAGCAACTACAGAAAGATCCTTTATAATATCGAAAAGAATTAGAACAATGTTATCTATTAAAATATTAAAAGCTATCAAAACATAAAAAGTAGCTCAATTAAATCAAAAAGACATAGTTTAATGTAAAAAAATAGACCAAAGTGTAAAAAATACTAATTTAAATTTATTAGTGTAAAGACCAATTAGCGACTATGAAGGCAAAAAAAAAAAAAAAATTTATTACATTTTTAACAAATTGTATTTTTAAATTTATGACTTCGTCATTCAGTCAAAATAGTGTTTTAGTTAAAGTTTATGTTTTCATGCATAACTATTGTTGTTGGTGTTGATGGTTGTAGGAAAGTAAGTTTAGGACCAGGGTGAAAAACTTTCAAGAGGAAGGGGAATAACTGATTGTTACTGGTTAGAATTATTTATTTTTCACTAGCTTGGAAAAAAAGCAGCATTGTCTATTTAAAGGCAATTGCATTTACTGTGTTTTACAGGATAAAGCCCAAATTGCCAGCAAACAACTAAAATGTGATGTTAAGATTCCATACTGATAATGTGTAATAAAGTTCTATCTTCGATTAAAAGATTGAATGAACCAAAAAAGTGTTACTAACATATTGCTAAAGACTTTTATTCTTTATGGTGTCAACTTTCAATTAAATTGGCTTGAAACTGCTGTTGCTAGTTGATTTATTAAATGTTGGAAAGGTGTAAAAATATATTTTAGTGATTTGCTGTTAAAACTAAAAACCTGATAGCAAATTAGACTGATTTGTTCAAAAACTATGTGTTTAACATTCATGTGTCTTAGCATATTTTCAAAAACAGTTTACTCAATGAATAGTAAACTAAATTGATTTAATTCTAATTAAAAAATTATTTGAAAAACATAAGTATTTCAATAAACTTGATAACGAATTACAGATTACAGTAGATAAAAACATTTTAAAAAATAAATGAAATTCACTCTTTTGAATTAAGAAAAAATGAAGACTTTTCCACATAAGTGTAACTAATACTTTGTTTTAAATGTAGAAGACTTATCATCAGTGTCCAGATTTCTTCAAACCAAAAGATGGTCAAACCCTAGGTTTAGATGATTTCTATAATGAAATTGTCATATTTATTAAATAAGAAAATATCATAATAAAAATACTCAGTCATGAAATGAAATTGTAAAAAGTATTTAAATAATATTTAAATACTTTTTACAATTTGATATCAAGACTGATTATTTTTATTATGATATTACCACTAGGTAGATGAGATAGTCATCTATCTAGTGGTAATATCATAATAAGAGCTTTACAAGCACCCCCACTTATAAGTGCTTACCCACAACTAATTTGGTAGTTTTATGTTATTTTATTCCTCCTAGGTAAAATTATAATTACCACAGCCTATGAGTCATATATGCCTATATAAATACTGCAAAATATGGTAAAATTGAAAAACAACATAATAAAAATAAACACTACTACTAAACTAAATAGTGAAGTAACATGGATAATATAATTAAAGGCTGTGTTAAATATCAATAAGCAATGAGTTTAACAGTTTTCTTATATAATACAAATATTTAATGTGTTTATTTTTACCCCATTTGACAGAAGCCTATTGAAACATAGTGTTGCATAACTAAGTATTGTTATTTCATTGTTATTTATGATTTATAATTTGAATTGAATAAAATAAATTTTTAACCCTTATTAATTTTTTCACAATGAAACTCACATATTCTCACACTTTTAACATATATATATATATATATATATATATATATATATATATATATATATATATATATATATATATATATATATATATATACATATATATATATATATATATATATATATATATATATATATATATATATATATATATATATATATATATATATATATATATATATATATATATATATATATACATTATATATATATATATATATATATATATATATATATATATATATATATATATATATATATATATAATTTAACACTTGTACTTTAAATTATATTGTACTCATGCAATGGCATATAAAAAAGATTTTGATTAAAAAAATACAGAATAACATATTAGTGCTGTGTTAAAGATAAATAAGAAATAATAATTAAAAAAAAACCTTCGCGTTCATCGATTTGTAAAGCATTTGATAAGTATGTGTAAGCTTGTTTATGATGTTTACGTACATTTAAAATTGAAGAAGGTATATTTGAACTTTCTTTTTCCATTTAGGATTTTTAAAGATGCTATTTAAAAATTTGAAATAAATAAGGCCTGATATATAACTCAAATTAAAAAAAAATTAGGTCATTAAAAAAAACAAATAAAAAGCTAGATATTTATTACTAAACTTTTTTAATTTACTCAATACTTCTTCTTTATTTGACTAACATTTAAAAATAGGGGTTAAATGTTGGTCAAATAAAAAAATATTATGTTAAATAATAAATTCCTAATTTTTATTGTCAAATTTTATTAATAATCTTCAGTTTCTTTAAGTTTAATAGTGTTTAATTTTTAGAAACAGAAATTTTATTAATTAAATTGCATTTAAGACTAATAATTATAATTTTGGGTTTAATAAACACTAACTAGTATCACTAATCAAAACGTGTTGTTTTAAAAAAAAAAAAAAAAATTTTTTTTAAATAAATTTAAAACAAGTTTAATTGTTTTTTTAAACAAAACTTAACAAATTTTATTCAATAGTACTCATCGGACCGTGAGAAAAATAAGAACTCGGTATTTTAAAACCGCACCGGATCCAATTTTAAAACAACACCGGACCCATTAGGCTGAAAGACACATTGTGATTAAACTTAATAATATCTTCAATTTAAAAAAAAATTAGGAATTCAGTTTTAAGCTCTGTGTTTTCCCTTGTACCTGTTGACTAATATATGCTGTTTTTAAAAGTTATGAACATGTAAAGATTACAACTCTTAGGGTAGGTGGAAAATTTAGGGTAGGTGGCAAACTTAGGGTAGGTGGAAATTTTAAATACTCATAATTTTTAAACACTAAAAAATTACAAGATAAAATTTAAAAAACAACAAAATTCTGTGGGCACCCTTACAACTAAGTACTTTTGATGCACTAACGCAAGAACTTGAAAATATATAATAAAACATCGTAAATTTTTTTTATAGGTCTGTACATAATTTATTTTACCAAGTAAAACGCGTTTATATATATTTAGTAATTGAGTATTTCTATACGTATGGAAACACGCATTGTCGTCAATAAGAGAATTTAAAAGATTAGACAAAACTTTAAAAGATTAGACAACATTGCAATCAAAGTTTAAAAAGAAAGATGATTCGATTCCTCTTATGACAATGTATAAAGCAAACTGATCCTAAGTCTATAAAAGCAAAAAATGGATTGCTCACATTTACAGGTTGCGATAGACTTTTACTGAATTCAACTCAGAAAACAACGCTTAAGGCTAATTCAAAATTATTTAGTTAATAATTTTAAATTTGGAAAGATCAACAAATATATATATATATATATATATATATATATATATATATATATATATATATATATATATATATATATATATATATATATATATATATATATATATATATATATATATATATATATATATGTATATATATATATATATATATATATATATATATATATATATATATATATATATATATATATATATATATATATATATATATATATATATATCAATGTATTTTTAGACTTCTATAATCTTCTAAGTCATCTTTGTTAAAGGTCTTTTATTCGTTAAATTTACTAGAACCTTTAATAACAACAGTCACAACTCATATGACTTTAAAGCAAAAATTATTCTGGTGTTTTTCTTTCCTTTTTTTTTTGATTTGATATTTTGTTTAAAATATATTCGTCTTGGACGCTGTTTTAGCGTCGTTAATTAGAATAATAATTATGTGCAAAATCTCTATCTTGATATATGATCAAAATATATGCACTTAACACAGACATAACTTTTCAAAAATGAGTGAGTTAACTTTACTCATAAAGGTGCTGTTATTATTGGCCTTAACAACATCAAAAGCAACTGATTATAAATGTTAACAATTCGGTAAGAGAAAATATATTCTCTAATATCTAGTCAATATCGCTGTTTTTGCATTTTATAATTATGTCCTCGCGTGTTGTTTTTGTTGCCAATAAAAAAGAACATAGCTTTATCAATTAATACCAAAATATGCAGAATTTTGAAGCAAATTAATGATTCATGTTAAAATTGCTCAAATTAAAATATGATTTTGATTTTGATTGATTTGGAATCTCGAGCGATTCCAAACCAAGCAACTGAAGTCCACTATAGAAAGTTAAATAGTTTAAATGCAGGATTTATTTTTTGAGAAACGTTTTTTTCATGAAGCAGCTGCAATCCTATGGACACTTGCTGTAACAAATAGGTATTTGCCATGTTTCTGACCAAAGTACAACGTTATCAAGAGCATTAACTTAGTTGTGGCTATGATCCGTGTTAAAAAATGAACTATATAACTTGATGTTATCGGCATAAAGCTTTAAAGAGCAAATAAGGTTGTTAATTGTAGCGGTTAAATCGTTGATATATAGTAGAAATAATGTTGGACCTAACACGTTACCCTGAGAATCTCCGCTAACGATGAGAGTTAAGTTAGATAATAAACTTCCAACCTTAACTTGTTGACACCTGTTTGTAAAAAAATGCGGCAATCTAATTTAATAAATTACCTCTTATATAAAACAGAGCAAGTTTGGCTAAAATTTAAGTTTGGCTAATAACTTAAGATGAGATACAGAAACAAATGTCTTTTGAAAATCAATATAAAGATCATCCGTTTTTAGATGTTTGTCTAGTGCAATACTCCAAGCATTTACAGATTCTAAAAGATTTTTGAAAGCAGAACGTTTCTTGAGGAAATCATGTTGATTATTGGCAATTAAGTTATGGAGTGTTAAGTACTTAATAATATCTAATTTAATAATTCTTTCCATTACATGACAACAAACGCATGTGAGTGAAATCGTTCTATGATTATTAGGGTCTGATGGTGCTTTTTTTTTAAAAATTGGAATAAAAAACTTTGAATTTTATTCTGCGATCTGTGAAGAAGTTATCATGTCAGAGCAAAACAACGTAACATCTTTTTCTGTTTCTTATATTGCAAGAGGAGTTTTGTCAAATGTTATATTGAATATTTATATTCCGAAATTTCAAGGAAAAATTTTAAAATAAGGTAAAAATTTTAAAAGACGGTACTAATTGCGACATTAAAATTATCTTCTTCTATCTTCATTTTTTATAGAATTTTAGGAATAAGTGCAATGCAATCATAACTAATTAAAATTTAATTTTTAAATTAAATTTTAACAAGCTATGATTAATCTAAAAACCAGTGAAAGTGGATGAAACAAGGTAAATCTAGTATCGCTTTATATCAATTAGAAGGTTTTTTTTTTCCTTTTTTTTCTTTTAACACGTTTAAACAAATACAGATACATATAGAAAATGAAAAATAGCGACAGTTAAAATTACACTATCAATAAATAAAGGTGGAATAAAAAATTACATTATTTTAAAACACCTTTTAAATTAATGTAATTTTAATCTTAAAATTAAAAATTTAAAAGTACGAAGATATTTCTTTTGAATAATACCAAATTTTGTATGGTAAATAAGTTGACAAATAGTTTTATTATTTCGTAAGATATATTTGTTTTTTCTTTTAATGAAAATAAATTAAGAAAAGGTTCAGGTGATAAATTGCTTTTACAATTAAACAAACAAAGAGCATTGAAAATATTCAGCTCATATATATTCAAAATTTTCATATCAATTAAGAGACGCTTGGCACGAGTAAAACGATCCTTAAAATTTATAAGGCATGCAACATGTTTTGTTGATGATTGAGGTTCAAGTTAACTTCTAGTTGAACTACCCTATGCAATGTTAGCATAGTTTAAGTGGCAATGAATAAAAGAATGATATAGTTGAATTAAAGTTTATTTAGAATGCTTAATGTTTTGTGTAATATTCTAATACTCTTTGGTATTTTACCGCACAAATTTTCGATATGTTATTTCCAAGAAAGATTTTCATTGATATAAATACCTAAGAAATTTGTGAAACTTACTTTTTTTATTAGTATATTGTCTATAAAAAGACAAAGCATGTCTTTTGGCAGTAGGTGTTTTTTGTAGTCGGTATGGTAAAGAATCCATTTGGTTTTATCAATATTCAGAGATAATTTATTTATCTTAAACAAATTAGAGATTTAACTAGTTTGTTGTTCATGGTTATAAGTAGAGATATAATGTTGTTATGGGATAAAAAAAGGTTAGTGTATTCTGCAATCATGATTGTCATTAAACTTGAGGCTTTATAAAGATTGTTTATGTAAATTGACATTAAATTGATAATAAATGTACATTGATATTGAATGTGGAGTTCCTCTAGGGTTAATACTGCAGTATTAACCCTTGAGGAACTCCACATTTAATATCAAGAAATTTATTCTTCTGTTTAGAATCAACATAGACAAATTGCTTGCGATTACTTAGATAATTTTTAAACCACTTTAAAATACTGCCAGTTATTCCATAGTATTTGAATTTGTTAACAAGAATTTCATGTCAATTGTATCAAAAGTTTTTCCTAAATCTATGAAAACTTACAAAGTGAATTGAGAACTCTCAAAGAATTTAGATATACTTCTTGTAAACTGAATAACTGGATGTTTAGTATTAGATTATTTTTATAATCTAATATTTAACAACAAATATGGGTTAAAAAATTAACTCTACTGAACATCTAGTTATTTGTTACTGAACATCCAGTTATCCTGAAAAGTTACTGAACAGCCAGTTATCCCATATTTATTCTCTTCTTATTTTCAAAAGTTTTATAAAGAATTGTTTATAAAAGAATCTATAGTCATCTAACTATAGGTAGATGACAATAGATTATTTTATAAAGAATTCTTTCTAAAACTTTTGAAAATATGAAGAAAATGGATATGGAATGATAATTGCTTACATTTTCTAAACCTCCTCCTTTTTATATTGGTCTTGCTTGATCGAACAAGAAAATATCTTAAAAAGTATGTGTTTTGGGACATCATATGAGTTGATAACAATGTTTCCATTAAAATCATCCGGATCAATCGCTTTGTTTAGTTTTAGCATTTTTAAAGCACATTCGAATTCTTCAAAAGTTAGTTCAAAAAAATAAGGATAAGTAAGGGGAAAGAAGTGATCTAAATTGTTGGCTAAAGAGTAATTTTTTTGGTTAGATTTGGGCCAACTGACACAAAATATTTCTTTAACTCAGCAAGGAATACGTCAAAAAATTTTAGACGTATTCTATGATGAGAACATCACATAGAAGCAACATAGTAATTATGTTGGTACTAAAGTTTCAAAAAATATTGAAGTTATTTCTAAGGCCAGAATCTGTATCAATAAAAAAGTTTTATCTCGACTTTATTATGTATTCATTTATAGCTATATGAACTATGCAAATATTGCTTGGGAAAGCAATATTTGGATAAGTCAGAAACATGCAATATGTGTAATTAATTTTGCTGATCGTTTTTCTCACTCTAAACAACTTTTTTCTGAAATGAGGTGTGATTGCTAATTTACGTACAGTTCAGCGAGTTCTTCATAATGCTTTTCAACTTTTGTGCAACAAATTTTAGCGAAAACTATTTTTGACAACTAATCACATAAACATTTGAATAACTTTTGCAAATGACAACGTAACGTGGAGAGAAGAGTGGCAACAAGTAGTATTTTTTGACAAAAAAGGATTACTTTGATAGGCCGGAGAGATGTAGTTATTATTTCCCAATTTGCGTAAAGAACCAGTAACACAGCAACGACGTAAAATGGATGGTGGTGGTGTCATGATTTGGTGAGCGGTTTGGCATCATGGTAAATCAAGAATTCATTTTATTGACGGAAAAATGAAGGGTAAGCAAGGCCGGCGCGATAGGGGTGTGTGGGGGGTGGGGATGGGGGTGACACCCCCCATCAATGATTTTTAGTCGGCAAACTGGACCCTTAGTCGGCAAATCGGACCTTTTTAGACTAGTTAGTCGGCAAATGTCGATCCTTTCGATATAGGTTAGACAGTCGGCAAATGTGGTAATGGCAGTCGGCAAATTTTGGAAAACAAGGAGCCATTTTTTTTTTTTTTTTTTTAAGTCGGCAAAAGTTGTAATGGCAACCCCCCCACGTGACACCTACTCGCGCCGGCCCTGAGGGTAAGGATTATCTTTTAATTGTTCAAGAACTTTTAAAACGTGAAGCATCTGTTATAGGTGGTAAAAATTTTATTTTTCAGCAAGATAATGTTAGCGTTCATACAGCTAAGATAGTAAAGGAATATTTCAACAGCAGTAAAATTGAAATTGAAGTGGCCAGCTAGATCTCCAGACCTGAAGATAATTGAGAATGCTTGAGCAAAGCTGTCACGTATAGTTTTTGAAGGTGGTAAACGATATAGTTCACTAGCTGACTTGAAATCATCCATCGCATCTGTATGGGATGCTATTGACATTTCGTGCATAAAAAACTTGTATGATTCTTTACCTTCTAGAATGATTGAAGTGATTCAAAAAAAATGGTAAAAGTACCCACAATTGATTGTTTAAAGTTGAGATTGTTTAAATTTAAAATCTTTTTATATAAATGACAATTTATATGAATTTTTTCCAAAAGTGTCTTATAATTTTGTCGCACTAAAAAAACAATTTTTTTTTAATAAAATGCGAGTAAGGTTTAAAGTAAAATTTTTTTAAAATGTTGTTTAGTCTTGTAATCCTTTTGCTCTTATTTACTATAAAAATTAGTTTACAAATATAAATGTATAGTAGAGTTTTGTAAATATTTTTGGGGCGTCTTATCATTATGTCGCGCAGTGTACATTCGGCCATAGCGTTCTCTGCTCTATACGTAGTAAAGAACGCCACTCGATGGGTTTTTTGACGTATGACTATTAGTGTTAGCAACAGTTCTTTAAAACTTTTGAAATTTAAAAACGATAGTGAATGTAGGTGCTTAAAAACATTCTAATATTTTAATTAATTTTCCTATTTTTAGCGGCACGTATTTTCGACACAACCTTTAAGGATTATAAATTTGTTTTAATAACAACATGATTAGATGTACTACACATATTTTTTTTTTTAATGTTTAAAATAAATTAGAATAGTTATTATCAGATGTAGTTTTCAACCTAAAGCTTGACTTAGGAACAGCGTTATTTTAAATTTTGTTGTTGTTGCATATTTACATTTTTTTTATAGCCAAATTATTATTTGCATGTTAATAATATATTATACATTATTTAAAATATATTATACATTATTTTTTTTTTTTTAATGTGTACCTTACTAATTAATAACACTGTTAAGGTACACATTAAAATGAATTTTAAATAATATATAACAGCGTTGAAAATGTATATTTCAGAGTTTATGTTTTAAATTTTTTTCACAACAATTCTAATTTTCAGTTTTTAATAAAAATGAAAAAATTGTGATTAACATGCAATTTTTAAATCGAAATTCAAAAAAAATAGAAGAGTTCAAGAAAATAGTTACAGATATGGCTGATTCATCTTGTGTTGTTTTGAGGTTTACTGAAGGTATTTCAGAAGAAGCTTCAAATTGGTTTTGCAAAATGATTGTAAAACCAGGTATTTTTTTTTTAATAATTAATATTCACCATTTAAAAATGTTTTACATAAAAGTTTACATTTAGAAATTGATTTAGAAAATCTTTTTTTAATTATGCAACCTGGTTTTTATTGTTAAAATTAAATTGTTTAAATTAAAATAAATTTTTTATGAATATATTTTTTATTAATTTTTGAAAAATTAATTTAAGATATTGCTTTTTAAATGTGCATAAATCCACTGACAAATGGATTGACACAATTAAATGTACATATGAAATGGATTGGCACAATTAAATGTACATGCATCAACTGAAAAATAGGGTTTGGGCAATTGAATGTACATACATCGACTGACAAATAAGGATTGACACAACTGTATGCACATACATCGACTGACAAATAGAGATTGGTGCGATTAAACATACATGATTTAAGACAGGTTTAGGGTTTGGACCAGAAATCAATAAGAAAATGATAAGGTACGCATTTTTTAAAATTTTTGCTTTAAATTGTTGATAGAAACCAGGATTTTAATTATAATCGAGTATTTTTTCATACTCGATTATAAATAAAATCCTTTTAAATTCATCTTTTAAAAGAATTTTAATTATAATCGAGTATGAAAAAATGATGAATATTAGCGTTTTTTAATTTGATTTTTAAATTTCAACATCGAATTAGAGCACTTTCTGTTGATTTTCAGACCTATGTTTTTATATGATTCTAAATCGGGATGAAATTCTCTATCATAATCAAAAATAAAAATAGGGAGGTAGAGATATAAATTAGCACCACTTTGTTATGCAGTTTTTTGACTTTCGATGTCAGTATCTTCCTCTTAATTTCATCAAGAACCAATAAACAGATAGAGCTAAGTCTGATGAGTATGGAGGTGGCAAATTATAACTTGGTTAAGAAATTTTTGATGATTTGAGTTACATGGGGTTAAGTGTTATAGAGAAATTCAAAATTTTGAGTGTCTGTTTTAGATCTTTGCTTACTTTTTTCGCATATAAGAGATTTTAAAAAATTTCTTATATAATATTGACTAGTAATGGTGTCTCCTTTTGTTAACATAACCCAAATGAACAACAACTGTTATTTTTAAGAAGATGTAGAACATAGTTCTTGGATTTCACCAACCCAACTTGCATTAGCCAATATATATTTATATATATATATTTTTATATATGTATATCAGGGGTGTACACTAGGACTTTTGGTCAGTCGCCAGAAGGACGACTGAAACTAACCAGTTTGTTAATTTTGGTCGCCCGCCGACGTTTTGAGTCGCCCGTTGCCTTTTTTTTTTTTAAATTTCCACTTAGCGAAGTTCTCGCATATTTTAGTCATTTTTTGTTATATGGCTAAATGTGCACTAGAAACAATATGCGCAAATAAAAGTAATATTGAAAACTGTTAATAAAATTCACTTTTCTACTTTCAAAAAAAACACATGCCATTATATTTTTAAACTTTATTTGAGCGCTCATTTTATAAAAAAAATAGACATTCGATTACAACAAAAAACTCTTGACAAATATAAAAAACAATTTGCAAATACTTTAAAATCCTTTTGCTTTTAATGTGTTGTAATTATTACGATCTTATTTGTTACAAGAAAAAATATTTATATTTTGAAAGGTAAAAAACATTCAAGACTTAAAATTATTATATATCGTCATCAATTGTTACAGCTCTATCACTGTCATCATCGCTACTAGCAAAAATCTGTATTTTCTTTGACTTTTTAACTGACACAACTGGAGTTTTGTTGTCCATGTAAAGCTTTTTTGAATAATGCTAGTTTTTTTTTTCGTGATGGTTTTAAAAGCCAGTGTTTAATGGCTTTTGTTGGATCGTATAACTCCATTTCTGGAATTATACGATCGTTAATAACTTGTTACTGACTCGTGTTTTTTGAATTGATTTAATGTTTTTCATTGCGCTAAAGCCTTTTTCGGCGTCTGCCGAACTTAAGCTATGGCAAAAAAAAAATCAATCAGAGAAAAAAGATTAGCGAATCTATCTGGTTTATATAGATAGATTCGCTAATCTATCTGGTTTATATAGATTTACATAGATAGCGTTGGAAATGATTTTGAACTTGCACTTGTCCAAGTTGCTATTATTTTTTTCAATGTTATCCACTCTAATAAAATATTTCCAACATCTACTCGTTTATATTCGAGTTGTTGCAAAGCATATCGTCGTCAATAAAGGCTTTTATGTTATTGTCTAGCATGTTTTATGTAACTTTTTGTTGTTTTCAGCCGTGAAAAAGTCGCTCTCCGTCCATTCAACTGTGTTAAGCAACTCGTCCGCCTCCGCAAAGACATCTGATACATTTGAATATCGTTTCAAAATGCACTTTTGCATGGATGTAGTAATAAAAACTCGATCTTCATACTTTTATCACTTCATGCAAATTTACAATCCCATATATCGAGCGCTTGTTCCAGTAAAAACCAGCGTCTGGATTTTCTTCGAATCTTTCTAAATTGCTCGAGCTAAGACTTAACTTCATACGTTGAAACATTTTTTTTGTGTGCTGACCTAATAAAAACATAAACAATATTATTATTGGTAAATTCTTAAATTTCTAAGTAAACAATTTATTATTTGTTACATTAACGTTTTAATTTGAAAAGCAATGGTGTATTTTTTATTAAATACTATATAGTTAAGTTATATATAAGTTGTAATTAAATATTTGAATTTAGTAGTTAATTCAATATATAATATACAGCGACAAATTATGTATTTTATCAATATACAAATAATAATTTTTATATTTTATTTTGAAAAATTAAATTTTAACCAATAAACGTTTAGGAAATAATAAATCAGAAAAAATTTCTTATTCTGAAAAAACTCTAAGTATAAGAGCAACAAAATATAATTATAAAATTCGAATGAATTTGTTCTTTCAAGAAAATTTTAATAGACTTTTAATTAAATAGTTCAAAAAAAAGCGCGACATAATCTGTTTATAACGAAGTTTTTATCTTTTGTAAACATTTTACTTTGATTATTGAATGGTAGTTATCGCAAAGTTTATACTTCTAAAACGTTTAATAACAATAACATTAGTATATATTACAATAAACTCACATATTACCTAATTATATATACTTTTTTAGTTGTTTATTTCTAAAGCTTATAACTTTTGTTTGTGTTGAATTAATACTCTGAAAAAACCTTACTAATGCCTCTGAAAAAATTGTCATTGCTCTACACACATCAAGAATATAGATCGCCGTCGACATTAAGTGCTGATCAACCAATTTCTTTGCAAAAAACTTAGCCTTTGATTTCTGTGTTGCGCTGTAGTCGCTTTCCAAGCTGATAGTGGTATAACTATGAATATGCACTTTTAGACCATTGAGAAGATTCTCCAACACATTTACCATATGCGCAACTCATCTGGTACTTAACTTGTAACCCATCTGGTACATTAACTCGTATGACTCTGCATTTGGCCTAAAAATTAAAATACTAAATTAAATAAATATAAAATTGCCTAAATTAATTAATATAAATTTTGATTGTTAATACTACCTAAAAATAATAAGTAAAAATACGTTAAGATATTATCAATATAACAAGACTTATTTCTTAAAATACCTTTTACACCATAAACTTTGCGTGCGTTACAATAAACCGCTGATATAACAGTAGAACTTCGATGAAAAATGAAGAGTTGCTCACAAAATAGCTGCAGAATTTGGAGTTCCTTTGAAGTGCTGGCTGCATCTTTCAGTGCCAGCTGCAATCGGTGCGACAAACAATGTAAGTGAGAAAATTGTTGCACCTACTAGCTGTTGCTGAACACTATGTCTCCGTCCAGTTAAAACATTAGCGCCATCGGTAATTAAACCTACCATTATCATTAGTAACTAGTTTTTAAAGTACTAATTAAATTGCCTTTCCAGACGCGATCTAGAGTCATTAGTCATTTCTTTAAATTTTTTTTTAATTTTTTTTCGGTAAATGTAGAATTTCGACTAACTGGACAAATTTACTTCTATTAATTATCTTTTAAATTATTACATATCTCTAAAATTTAATTAAATTAAAAAAAAAGAATGTTTAAACAATAAAAACTTTTTGTTTTTATTTTACTTGTATTTTCTAATTAGCAATAGAAAATGCGGTAAACAAACTTTAGCATTATGACTTTTAAAATAGAGTTTTATTATTATTTTAGTTACTTATTGCATTAGTTACTTTGCATATTTTAAATCTCTTAAATTACACACACAAAAAAATAGAACTGCCGATAAAAATCAATAATCGCCATCGGTAATTAAACCTACCATCGCCATCGGTAATTAAACCGCCATCGGTAATCGGTAATTAAACCGCCATCGCCATCGGTAATTAAACCGCCATCGCCATCAGTAATTACATCGCCATAGGTAATTACATCGCCATCGGTAATTACATCGCCATCGGTAATTACATCGCCATCGGTAATTAAACCGCCATCGGTAGTTAAACCTATTTTATGCAATCAAGTCGCCCTTTCGGGCGACTTGATTGCATAAAAAAAATATTTTGAGTCGCCCTCTTTACAATATTTGGTCGCCTGGTGCCATCGGGCGACCACGAGTGTACATCCCTGTATATGTATATATATATAAATATATATATATATACATATATATATATATATATATATATATATATATATATATATATATATATATATATATATATATATATATATATATATATATATATATATATATATATATATATATATATATATATATATATATATATATATATATATATATATATATATATATATATATATATATATATATATATATATATATATATATATATATATATATATATATATATATATATATATATATATATATATATATATATATATATATATATATATATATATATATATATATATATATATATACAGGCCCGGCGCTAGACATTCCGAAGGTGGGTGAAAAAAATATTTTGGCGCCTTTATAAATCAAAGTTTATATTTTCGACTTAATACAACTCTTTTGATAAAATAATTTATTTTGAAAATATTACTTATCGAGCTTTCTTTTCCGAAAATTTCAACCGGATATCTTCAATATTTAAATCAGCGGCAATTTTATTTTCAATGGAAATCATTGCAAGGTTGTTCAACCTGTCCTGGCCCATTGTCGATCTTAAATAATTTTTGATAATTTTTAATTTCGAAAAAGATCTCTCGGCGCAAGCTACTGTTATTGGTAATGTTAGAAGAATTCTTAATGCAATAGATTCATTTGCATAGATTTCATTCAAACCATTTGCGTACAAATATTTTATAGCATTTTCAGGATCCAAATTTTCAGTAAAATGAGAAGAAAGAGACATTAATTCAAAACTTAGTTCCTCGCCAGAAATATCTTTTTTTCCATTTTCAGTTTTTTTTCCAATGCAATGCAATGAGGTTTTAAATCATCTTCCTTGACTGTTGAGAGCTTTTTAATATCAAATAAAAAGCTAAAAGATGCAATGCCAGCATTAAAATCATTAAATCTCTCTTCTATTGCAATAGTAGCACATTCAAATATTTTATTAAAAACATCTTGTTTATACTTTTCTTTTGGTTTTTCAAAGTTTTGTTCAGGTTCATCAAAGAATCTCTTTCTTTTTCTTACTCTTGAAGCAGATTCTGATGCAAAACTTTCTTCTACCTTTAAAAAAGAAGCAAGTTCTTGTGCAATACACACAACAGAGTCAAATTTTTCCTGTTTGTAATATTCCTTAAAAAAATTAATTGTTCTTTCCATTGCTTTTAAAGCCTCTGAAATATTCGTTAAAGCTGCTTGAAGTTGTTTGCTAGTCAAATTAATTTCGAATAAAACTTTATGCCAAATTACGATCGAACACAAAAAATCATTAAAAAAAGCTTGTTATTTTTAAAGCAATTGACTCTGCTGTGATTTTTGCAGTTGTTTCATTAGCAGTCCTAGCCGCATCTTGCAGTGCTTGATAAATTTTTGGCATTTCAAATCGAAGTGTTTTTACAGTACTGATGTGGCTTTCCCATCTTGTATAACTTAACGGTTTAACTGTTAAAGATAGACACTTTGATTGCAAAATTAACCATCTTTTTGTTGAAGCAGAAACAAAATTGTAAACTTGATCAATTATATTGAAAAACAAAGCAATTTTAGGTGAACATCTCACAGAATCAACAACTGACAGATTTAATGTGTGACTGCAGCATGAAACAACCGCTTGGTTGTTTTTTTTTAGAATAAAAGCCTGTACACCATTTCTTATGCCTTTCATATTTGCACCATTGTCATAACTCTGACCTCTTATGTTTTCCACCGACAAGTTACTTTTTACCAGAGAGTCAATAATCTCATTTGATAAATCTAGTCCTGTCGAACCTTCAATTAAATGAAATCCAATAAAACTTTCATTAATGTGAATTTCGTTTTTATCCTCTACATCAACATATCGTACCAGCATTGACATTTGCTCCTAGTGACTGATATCTGGTGTACAATTAACAATAATTGAAAAATACACGGACTTTTGGACATTTTAGCAAATTTTAAATTTAATGGATTTGCCAATCAAGTCAATGATTTCATTCTGAATATCTTTTGCCAAATAGTGCACAGAATTTGTTTTTTTTTTTTGCTCTAAACAAATGTTTTTCCATAACTGGATCAAATTCAGCCAAAAATTCTGAAATTTTTAAAAAGTTTCCATTATTATCATGATAGACTTTGTCACAAGAGCCTCTGAGAGGCATATTTTGCTTTGCTATCATAGTAGTTAGAGAAATTAATCTTCTCATTACGTTGTCCCAATGTTCTACTTCTTTAATTAAGTTTTTATCCCAAATTTTATCAATTAAAGTGCTTTTTTGTAATCTGTTTTTCAGATCCACCCACTTGCTGTAGCAGTTAAAATGATCAAGACTTTTTTTGTGTCTTTTTAAGATTCGTGAAATATGGCGCCAATCATTACCACCATTTTGAGCCAACATAATAGGATTTAAACAAAAAAGTTTACAACAAAACAAAAAACTTTGTTTGCTTTTTGTGAATAAACTAACCACGTTCTATGATTTTTTTTAGTAGATTCAGTTGATTTGCTTTCATTTCCAGAATCAGCTATATTATGAATTAATGGACTTTCTTTGGCCATTTTATCATGATGAGTTTTTAATAAAAAATTTTCTAAAGATGTTTGATTTGATTTCAATTGTTCCTCTTTTTGTAGGCGTTTTTGTTTAAATTCCCAACCTGAAAATTTTCTCCATTATTCTCTTTGAAAGAAACCAATAAATATTATATATAATTTTATAGCAATAGTTAGATAACTTTATATCATAATAAAAAAATTAATGAAACTCTCAAATAAGAGCGCTAAAACACTTTAGAACGAAAAAGTATCAAAAAATATTTAACGCAAAAAGAAAAGCTACTTTTAAAGCTTTAATTTCAAAATTAATTTATAAAGAAACGCTTTTTTAATTTAAAATGCTTTTATAAAATTTCTTGTTTTAAAACACAAACGATTTTTTAAAGAAATGTTTGCTTTTCTTTAGAAATTAATTTCGATCCAAAGATTCTTTTCTTTTTTTGAATGGGTTCGTTTTTGCGCCGCAAGTTTACTAGTCAATGTCAATGATTGGTTAGCGGAAAAATTCAAACATGATTTTTTTTAATTGGCTGAAACTTTTTAAAATTGTACAATAAATAAATTAAAGAAAAATAATAATTTTTTTTAGAGTAATTATGGTTTTTATATAAAATATTATAGACTAATTTTTATACAAATAAGTATACAAATTTTTAGATAACTATTCCTATATATATTTATATATTTTCATACTCTCAAAAGTATGAAAATATGTTCCTGACATAATGTCCGATTAAAACTTGTTTGGGATCAAATTTTAAAAGTATGATTTTTTTGGTTTTACGGTAGATATCCAAGGGGCGCCAAATAAAATGAAGGTACCCCTAGTTGAAAAAGTTGTAAAAAGTTTAAAAAAAAGGTCTTTTATATATAATATAGGGAAAATTTGATAAATGAGAGCTCCGATCCTGATTGCTGTCCCATGCAGCGTGACAGCTCTCGGCGGCCCTGACCGAGTTATACTATAGAAATCTTTGTCATGTTATTTAGTTTACTCAACGTTAGTCTAATGAACTTGTAGTTTCTTTCCTTATTATTTAGAGTATTTAATCACAAATTTTTGTTTTTTAAAATAGTTTCAATTTAATAAATAGACTTAAATTTTCATGCTGTAACTGACAACGCTTTTTTTTTTTTTTTTTTCTTTACAATTTGACAATGACTGTATTGATGTTTTAACAATTTAAGTTCAATAAAAAAATTGTTACATTACAAATAACCTTTAACCATTGATCTTTTT